ATATTGAGCTTTGAAACATATTTTTCTTGGATTAATTTCATCTAGTGATTTATTATTTATTAATAAAGGTTTTTTGTTTTGTTTTTTAAGTTCAGTAATATAGCGATTATTAGATATTTGTAGCAGGACAAACCCAAAAATAATTTACACTTTTGAAAAAAAATAGTGGATATAAGTGATAAAAATTACCGGAAATATATATAAAAAAAAGGATTTCATTTTATATTTGAATTCTATGAAAAATTAAAATAGGGCCATAATTCTTATTTATGCTGATAATTTTAATTATGGCCATATTTGAACACAAATTATTCAAATACAAAATTAAATAACTTTTATATTTCCAGTATTTTGTCTAATAAGTGTTTGGTTAGTATTAGGGATAATGATAATGTTGCTGTTCTAAAAAAAAAACATTTAACAACACTATAAACATCTCACCATTTCAAACTATATTTATCACTCAAAACTGAGATATACAGTTTTATATTTCCGGTAATTTTTATCACTTATATCCACTATTTACAGTTTGTACCTTGTCATTAACGGTCTCGTCTGTTTTAGGAACGTAGACTTCATGAACATTTTGGCCTACGATTACCACACAGCATACGAAGATGAGACCGAACATCACGCTCCACTGTTAAAACGTCCTGACTTTAGTGAATGGGACGAAAGGAACGACATGAATGTGGTAAGCCAGTGTTTTAGCTTGTTAATGTTCCCGAAATTGAGCTCTGAAGTTGATAAGTTTTTTTGTTATTATTATTATCACTGAAAATAAATTGTGAACAAAGGTAATTGGCGAGTACTACACAGTATTGAAGACCCTAGGTATGCTTTTCGAATGTCGTAAAATATTATTTTGAAGTCTTTAGGAATTGTTTCTGGATTTGAATGATACATAAAAAGCCGGTAGGCCTAGCGTATTAAAGGACATTCATTTCACGAAAAGGAGTTAATATACTAGTGTAAATCACCGATTTTCTATTTCTGTAATAAAACGAATGAATAAACATATTTGCTGCAAAAAAACAAACAAACAAAATACCAAATATTACACAATTAATTGATTACGTTTCTCGTAATGAATACTTACATATTTTGTTCACCGCCAATTTCCTTGTGTACGTAGCGCATGTTGTCAGATATGAGTATTAAAACCATTCTCTAACAAGCCAAAATGCCAAGTGAACAAAACTTTTTGTTTTCTTTCAGAAGTAGTTAAAACAGTAACAATTAATTGGTTATATTTATCTTAACGAGTCCTTTTCTCATTCTGAATGTCCTTTTTGCATTTTAGGCCAACTCATAAGAAGCTGCATCCCGTAAGACTATATAGTCGTTAACAGTCACAAAACAAGTTCCGATGACAAAAGGTTATCATTCTTTAAAATAAACATTGCATATTTTTGTTCACTGTTACTGTATTGTCAAGCAACTAGATGTACTTCCGCAGGGTCCCCGAAAATGTTTTATTTCAAAAGTAAATAAAACCAAAATTAAGAGTAAAATATTATTATTTCTTGCTTTTGAAGTTTATGTGTCATGCTGTGTTGTAGCCTATAGAATACACAATTATTCTCGTGATTCATTACATGCGCACGTTTTACTGACGCACGACAGTACAAATTACAACGTTAAGCGTCCCTTATGAGACGTCATTTTAATGTCTACTGACTGACTGACAGAAAACACACTATTGTATAATGGTGCGAGTAGTTAAAACAGGTGACCCCTCCAGGTGGTCTTCGGTTCTCTTTCGGGGAATAACGATGATTAAAGTATTAAATCTTTAACTTTATAGGAGTGGACTGTAGACTATTACTTGAAGCTTGGAGTTGTACCCGAGAAGTTAGTTCTTGGTATTCCCACTTATGGAAGGTCGTACACACTGTTAGACCCAGAAGACAACGGAATAGAAGCGCCTGTTGATGGTCCTGGTGAAGAAGGGCCTTCAACCAGAGAGACGGGCTACATGGCTTATTATGAAGTAAGTAACATGCTACTCATTAGAATCAGGGTGATATGTCATCACGTTGGTTTTTAAATGTCTAGATGTACCTAGGTAAATATCGAAGTTGGTTTGTGTAGTCCTGGAGACAGTTGGTACAAACTACGTTAAGTTTACATGTCTAGAAGACACTTGGCATGTATCACGTTGTATTTTTATATATCCAGATGCACTTAGATGTGTATATACCTTTGTAATTTTTGTCATCTTGAACAGGAGTTTCTAAACTTTCCAAACTCAGGACCCACGTGAGTAGTAGTCAGACAATTTTCTGGGACCCATGTTCAACTGCGGGGGGTAAGGGGAGTTTACTGTTGTTATATGTTTCAGTGAAATATAGTATCGATCTCATATTTTGCATTTTGTTTTGTTTGTTGAAATGAATTTTAGAATCATTATCTTATAAATAAGTTTAAAATAATAATATGTTTACGTTTTGTGTACAACCCTCAGTCCAGAAGCAATTTGGTGCGTACAATACTGGTTTTTGTCATATAGGATTTGGTTTGTTATGAATTTCGAGCAAAGCTACACGAGGGCTTATTAATTAGAAACGGGACGCGAACCATGGATTCTCAGATCACAGTCGGAGACACTAACCACTAGGCTACGATCGGTCTATAAGGA